GGGCGCGATGCTAGGGGGCGCGATTCTAAGGGGGCGTGATGCCACGGAACAATGCTTAGGGGGCGAGATGCTAAGGGAGCGCGATGATAAGGGGGGTGGTGCAAAGGGGGCGTGAATATAAGGGGGTGTGAAGCTCAGACGGCCAGATTCTACGGGCATGCGAGCCTAAGAGAGGTTAAGGGGACGTGATGCTAACGGGAATCAACGTTACGGCGACGCGATGCTAAAGAGCTAAGGTGGAGGAGATGGTGTTGGTGAATTTAAAACCGTTGGGAACCAGAGCAACCAGGGGCGGGCGAGGCGGAAAAGTGGCGTGGCGGGCCAGATGAAAGGGCGGGCGCGGAGCGGAGCGGGGGCTTCGCCCACATCTGGAACGCAGGGGGAGAGGCAGCGGCGCCGAGCGCACGCGTTTACGCGTCCGCGCGGGGGATCCAGGGACGCGCCCTTGGCCGGGGCGTTAATGCCTTCCTCATGGGTTCGCGCGAAGCAGCTGATGGCCGGACGCTAGATGCACGACCTCGCACACGCCCAAAAGCCTGCGCCAGCGAACGGCCTCTGAGCAAACTCAAAAGCAAAAATCGCCACTTCGACATCGCGAGGCAGCGAAATTTTACTTTTCCCAACCGTTTTACAGATAGTTGCTTTCGCTTACACCCAACACGTAACATGCGTTTTTCAGGGAGGTGTTGGGATCATATTCAGGATTTCCAAATATTTTTAACCGTTTTACTACGAAGGAGTTGGCTACCGATTTTTCCTATAATGCACTACGCTGTTATTTGCTACTGTAACATTTAAACGGTTCTTTGTGCGATGTACTCGAAAGGTTAAAACTAGTTCAAATTTATTTTAGAATCCGTCAAAAATTTACATCATTTCAAACTATACTCTATTATTTATATACAAGATAAATGCAGGCGATAGTAGGAGAGCTTCAGAAAATTGTTAGGAACCATTTGACAAAAGGTTTGTTTATGTTATTTAGGAAAACGTGATTTGTATCACATCCAAGTACAGTAATTCTGTACAGGCTTCATAATAGAACAGGTGTATTTTCGTACAAATATGTAATGCGTTTCGTGCAGACAGAAAGCGTTTGAAAATAAGATGGAACTCCTATCCTCATCCTGGAATCAGTAGGAACTGGATTTGTAAGTAAATGCAACGGAAGTTCTAGGTTCGAGTTCACCTATAGGTACTTCTCCAATTTTAGGGAAAGGAGGAACAAGTTTTCAAAGGAACTTAATATTTTTCCATGAGATTTCATAAGACTGACGACATTTTTGTAAAAATTAGGCGAGATATCCATGGTACGAGTATTTAGGCGGAAATAAGATTTTGAATATTTCGGCAATGTTTTAATCTTCCCTCTCAATTGTATTTTTTCATATATATTCAACGGTTTCCTTTTCCAAAATAACAAAAAAAAAAATCTGTCAACTTTGTTCTCTTTGGTAGTAGACATATGTCTTGGAAACATTCTGAACTTCAAACAGCATCTACTTCCTCTTAAAAATGTCTTACCTTCGCATATACCATTAAACTGCAAATATTCATGGGAATAACCTCGGCCAATAAAGAAACTTGATTGAAGTACACAATTTTATGTGCTATCGAGAATTGTCAAGTACCTAGTACTAGTAGAAGATACATTAAAAAGAGAGTTACGAGGCACATCAAGGAGTCATGAATTCTACTCTTAATGGGCTACTATCGGTGCGTCAGGAGTTGATGTTGTTGCCAACTATGCCAGGCTTCTCTGAAGGACCTACCATTAATTATAACGCTTATGAATAACGTTCACAAATAAACTCGTTTTTTCAACAACCTAAGAGATTCGCCGATAAAATTGTGTAAATATCTCCACAAAACTGGCAATTTCCTAACGTTCTTCAACATTTGAAGAGCGAACACACAATTTTGAAACTAATATTACTATCGAGAATGATGATGCAACTTCCATCTATCTCTAAAAATGAGCAAATGTACAAATGGAATCATCTTAAAAAACATGCAAAAACTCTCTCTCTGCGATGGTACCTAAACCAATGGCAATTACTCATCAAGTTGTAAATGACTGTCACGTTGGTGGGTGTAATTTTACATTTAATACATCGTCATCAAATCTATAGATTTTTTTCGAAACAGTTATGCTATTGAAGATCGAAAGAAATTACAATATAAAGAAATCTTTGTAAATAAAAAAAACAAATAATGCCACATTTATCATTCTTTAAACGAGTTTAACAATTACTTTCAAAAGGATGTGAAATACCCATATAATAACTGTGAAATATTGATATTGAAATATTGAAAATATAAATTAAATAATCAAAAGACATTTGTATCATAGAAAAGGAGCCTGAATTGTAATAATAATGAAATTAATAGTAATAATAATAATAATAATAATAATAATAATAATAATAATAATTTCATTGCCAAATTTGCTAGTATGCAATTGCATGTAAATTCAATTTTACATTGCACATTTATGCCGTATAGTTTTTGTTTGTTTGTTTTTTTAAATTTTTTAAATGGGTCATCGAACAGGCTCACGTAAATTGGAGTCTGTTGCACTCTTAATCCAGAAGCAACCGTGTGTGCCCCCACTGGCCGGTGGGTGCATCGCAGAGAGGAAGAGTAAAGAGAAAAGGAAAGAGTGAGTGAGAGTGCCGAGTACTCACCTTCTGGACTCGCTCCTTGTAGCTGCGCTCCTTGTAGCTCTCGGAGCGGTTGATGGAGGCCGCCGACGGCTTCGTCGGTGGGTGGTGGTGCGGCCTGCAAAACCACACAAACCACACGTCAGCACTCGCGCACTGGGCCCGTCCAAAGCGGCGGACGCGGCTGCCATGCAGGCGACAGCGGCACGATCGATGGGACAAAGAGGCCGCAGGGCGCTGTAGGCTAGGACTGTTGCAAATGACCTCAAGAATTCGATTTCCATTTTGGACGCAACTGTGTATTCCTTGAATGAAACTCACCGCAATCAGTGTATCGATTCTTACACCGATTACACACTATCAGTATCAATTATTACAGACAAAATTATTACAAACAATGAAAAGTTTTAAATATCGATGTTTGGAATATTATCAAAACTCGTCTTGGAATAAGTTGAGGCAAATGCTACAATTCATTGAAACGATGTAGAGCTAATTTGCAAAAAGCTAATTTTCATCTAATAATATTGGCTGTAAAAATGAAGAAAAACACGTAGCAGACCGATTACCTCAGAAAATTAAGAGTTACAATGATACTACTTGAGACCGCCGATACCACTTCACTGAGTCTCCGAATAGATAAGACACATTAATTATAAATGAAGAAATTAGTGAACACGAACACTGTCGCCAGATTTCTAATACTTGGAATCTTGGAAAGCTTACCACTAGAGCCACAAACATAAGTTTTCATAACAAACAAATAGAAAATATGACAAAACATACGAATTTCAAATAATATCCCTAAAATTATCAATAGGCTATTTCTGACAAAAGCGACGTGATACGCAGTTCCAAGAAAGTAACACAAATTCAATTCCAGCACTGCTATGGACACAATTCACGACACGAATATTCCACTCCAAAGAACAGGAAGCTATAAAGACTGCAAGGCCAACAGACTCGCACACATATACAAGAGGAATATATTTTCCTAGAAGAGTGAAACACTTCGAATAAATCCATAAATATTTCAGTGAATGCTTGCGAATTTCCTCATCCTTTGATAAAGCCACTAATATTTGCACTACTTGACCACGAAGAAAACTTGCAACTGAACCATCACAGAGAACAACGATGAAACCAAACCTCAAAGTCGAAATCTGTTTGTCTACCATGTGAGTCTTTGTCACAACAATTTTGAAAAATGGACAAACTTTGGAGTACGATGAACACGAATTCTATTAAATTGTGGACTTGATTGCCTGAATGCCTATTTAATTGCCTGATTAATCGCTAAATATAACAATTTTCACAAGCTTCTTACACGCGGATATGACACACTTGAAGTCAAAAAGAATGGATGATATTCCCTTCAGAGCAACTAAACGTCGCCCACATTGAAGACAACTCGAAAAGAATATCGACAGATGAGCAATGATATACGAATTTTAGAGTGTGAAAGCAAGAAGAAATAATTGCATAAACCAAGTGGATGAGATATTAAAGTTATGACATGATTTTGAATTTTTATTCTTCACAAATTTCGAACTCTTGTAACTTAGAAAACAAAAAAGGACAATATTCATTACTTCGTCATTTTCATTTAATCTCACGAGTTATCCAGTGACTCCATCACAACAACGAAATAGTTTTTTCGAGAGGGTTGGAGGGAGAGCAGAACACAAATGGTACTTTTCAACTGTTACGATATTAATTACTTGCATAGAATACAAACTTAATAATGGGTTTGAAAATTCTGATTGAATAGTGAAAATCGGGTAGAAATATCTACGAACTGGGGAAATCAGTTATTAGCACACCCACGTCTTTTCCAACGACCTACATTTTTTCAAGATATGAGCATTTACTTATAATAATTTTCAATTCCACAAACGCATCGATTAATTCCACAGCCCCAAGGCGAAGGAATAAATAGATTTGATAAACAGGAAGACAAAAGGAAAAGGAAGCGGCAGAAACGAATACGACTGCTGCCCCTGAGACTGACGCGAATGGAGGAAGGAAGGAGGGGGGAGGTATGCGGCGCCGAGGCCGTGGGCGGAGCGGGGCGGAGGGCGGAGGTGGAGGAACGCGGCATCCAAAGGCTTATTAATACCCGGCCAGCGCCAGCACAGAACTCGCTCATCGCCCGATCCGCTCCCACGCAACGCTCGTATCAAAGGCTACGAGTTTCAAAACCTACGATGATACTTGGGTGTTTCACGCCTTTTTCGCCCTGAGGAAGGTCTCAGAATGGCGCCCGCAACGTTGGCACCTGTGCCTAACACGCTGCGTGTATCGGACAGCCAAGTAGATGCTTATTCCGGCCACGGATTCCCTCGCTCTTGATCCTCATACAACAGCGCTGTTTTTTTTGACAGCCTCTTGGCAAGTGTTCTTCTAAAGCGATCCATAATCATGGTAAAGCGAAACATGCATGTTCGAACAGTAAACTCAGAGAACAAGGAATTCTCAAATAGCTTTTGAGTAGGAAACCAAAACCTCTTATTTCCAACACAGGCACGATATAAATTACTTTTCCAAACTATGAATACAAGGCAGCAAAACAAACGATTTCAAAAGCACAAACTGGCAATGAAAAATTATATGCATTCAAAAGAATGAAGAGAACCAACGCCGGTTGATACTGCAATGTATCAGCCGTGGACATAATGGGAAGGCGATTACAATTATATTGCGTAGTTAAAAAAGCAAAGAGTGATGAAAAACCGACTATACAATAGAAGCTGTGCTACTGGAGAAAAAAGAAGACAATCGTGCACAAATGAGTACGCTACAATTTTGCACATGGAAGCAACTCAATTTGCTCCATTACAACAAGCTCAATGTGTGCCCTGTGGATACAGTGACGAGGATGGATGTGAGTACGGATGTGATGAGAAGCGAGTCGCCACAGCATGGCACCCGCCAGATAACCTCGTTCATAGCAATGGGGCGCAAATGAGGATACTGAGATAAGCGTCGACGGTGGGTTTACACATGAAAACCTACGGCAATCAGCACTGACCCACACAAATGACATGACCTGGATTCGGATTCCGTTTATGTGGAAAAGCGGAAACATGCGACCTGTATTGTACGATATCCCCTTTTGCAGCTTCAATCAATGTGGCGCGTTGTAGTACTGAAAGCAAGAGTGAATTCATAGCCAATTACAGAATTGTGGAAACTAGAACGAAACATGTTTTGAGGTAGAGTACGAGGTGGAGTAGAAGGTGCATTATAAAGGAAAGAGGTCGGGGATGAATCAGATGTGAAGGAGATGCGTGCATCAGAGCCGAGGGACATCTATGCATCAGAGGCGAGGGACATCTATGCATCAGATGGAGGTGCGTGTAGGTGAAGGAGATGTGGGTATCCGAGGTGAAGGGAGGATCAGTGCATCAGCCGGAGACGCATGAGGTGTGGGACTCACTCGACGCCGATGCGGTCGAGGCCCGAGGAGCTGACCGCCCCGAGGCTGCGGCTGCCGCCGGGCGACGTGGCCCCGGCCCCCG